TCTTTTTTTTTCTGAGATGGAGTCTTGCTCTGTCGCCCAGGCTGGAGAGCAATGGCGTGATCTCAGCTCACTGCAGCCTCTGCCAGGTTCAAGCAATTCTCCTGCCTCAGTCTCCCAAGTAGCTGGGATTATAGGTGTGTGCCACCATGTCCAGCTAATTTTTTTTTTTTTTTTTTTTTAGTAGAGACAGGGTTCTCCATTTGGTCAGGCTGGTCTCGAACTGCTGACCTCAGGTGATCCGCCCCCCCTTGGCTTCCCAAAGTGCTGGGATTACAGGCTTGAGCCACCATGTCCAGCATCTTCATTTTCAATCAGTGGATGGATCTCCCCAGCACAAAGCTGTGTTAGACCAGGCCGTCTTCAGTCTTTGATTGAACACCACAGTTCCACTTACATCTACTCATCAAGACCTACTACTTAGGTCATTAACACCTCTTTCTCAAATAATTTTCACCAAATGTGAACCCTGGTTATTTGCAGTCATGGGATTTTTAATGATTTCTAAAATACTTCTTTGTACTTTTCTGTTTTGCTTGGGTTTTTTATAGTAAACATTTATATTTTAAAAATAAACATTTAAGGCCAGGCACAGTGACTCACACCTGTAATCCCAGCACTTTGGGAGGCCAAGGTGGTTGGATCACTTGAGCTCAGGAGTTTAAGACCAGCCTGGGCAACGTAGTGAGACTCTGTCTCTATGAAATTAAAAAAAAAAAAAAAAATTAGCCAGGCATGGTAGCACACGCCTGTAGTCTCAGCTACTCAGGAGGCTGAGGTGGGAGCATTGCTTGAGCCCCAGAGGTCGAGTCTGCATTGAGCAGTGATCATGCCACTGCACTGCAGCCTGAGCAACAGAGTGAGAACCTGTCTCAAAAAAATAAATAAAATAAACATTTTTTAAAAGTCAAGCAACTTGGCCTCATCCAAATATTTGTGAAATCACAGATTTGCTGTGATTTTCATATTTAATGTGATCTTTATAATTTTTTAAATATACAACTAAATTAAAATTCTAATGTAACACCTAAAGTTTTCAGGTACCATCAGTGATGTGTATATCACACTTAGGAAATATCATACTGTATAATAATGTCCCTTTTACATTGCAGTAGTTTTACATATTAAAGATACTAGTCCTTGATCTGTTGGGTATTTACAAATATTTTTCCTAGCTTTTCATTTTTCTTTAACTTTATGATTTTTTTGCATTTTTTGTTTTCTTTTGCCTACTGACATTTTTTCTACTTAATATAAAGTGCTGCTTTTTAAATATTTGATAATTTTTTTGTATCATGCTTTTAGGCTGTCCTTAGTCATCTCGACGTTATTCATCCATATGTTCTTCCAATTTTTTCATTTGTTGTTAGTCTTAAATTTTGGTATGAGATGGGAAGTTAATTTTATTTATTTCCCACAAATGTTTTCCCATTTCATCCTTTACTCATTTACTTGAAATGCCATTTTTATCATATATTAGAATCTTGAATCTGTTGGGTCTGTTTCTGCACCTTTCTGCCGAGCATCTCTGTGTTTCTATGCTAGCACGATGCTCTTTTAAAATTTAATAAAATCTTAGAATATGTGATATTTGTCTATCCTGTCTCCACTTGTCTCCATTTGTCTATCCACTCTCACTCCTCTTCTAAATTATTCTTTGCTATTCTTGTTTATTCTTTGAGTGAATTTCAGAATTACTGGATCGGGTTTTAATACAGTTCTGTAGGAAATTTGATTCGGATTATATTAAATGTATACCTTGGCCAGGCGCGGTGGCTCATGCCTGTAATCCCAGCACTTTGGGAGGCTAAGGCAGGCAGATCACTTGAGGTCAGGAGTTCGAGACCACCCTGGCCAACGTGGTGAAACCCTGTTGCTACGAAAAATACAAAAATTAGCTTAGCGTTGTGGTGGGCGCTGGTAATCCCAGCTACTCAGGAGCCTGAGGCACAAGAATCACTTAAACCCGGGAGGCGGAGGTTGCAGTGAGCCGGGATTGTGCCACTGCACTCCATCCTGGGCAGGAGAGCAAGACTCGGTCACAAAAAAATAAATGAAAATAAATGTATACCTTAAGGGAAAAATAGGTATCTTTAGATATTCCCCCATTTTAGTATTCACTGTTGTAAAGGATAATTATTTGTTCGATATTCTCACTGACTAGCCTGGAAATTCATTTAATAGTTTTATGTTCCCAGTGTGTGTATTCAAAGTCTTGCATGAATAATGACTAAACGTGCATATGTCGGAAGGTAAGTGAATAAAAACAGGCTATTATGGAAAATATGCTCTCCCTTTGATTCTGAGATTTTAGACAAGTAGAAAATATCTCCCAAATGTGAAATAGAGAAAAACATGAAGATGAATGCTATAACAACTTTTACTGTTGTCAAAGTAGTATTAAGTCCACTAGTAAACTGTTTCTTATTCTTGCGAATTTAATTCTCATAAGAGTTCTCATAAAATATTCATAAAAGTATTTATGTTGGTAGAATTGTGAACTAGCTGGATTAAATTTAAAGCTATTAATTTCCAAGTGATTTCTCAGTTACCGGTTTCAGTCAACTTTGATACATAGAATAATCAGCTTACTCAGATTTTTTTTTCTTCTTAAAAACAGAAGTTTTATTGTATTTGGTCCAGTCAGTATTTCACATTATTTCATGGTGCAGGGCCCCTGGGTGGGAATCCCTGTGTAGTACTTGGCGGGGCCTGTGGCCAGGGGTGATGAAGCAGTATAGCTGGTCAGGCCCAGAAGGGGAGAAGAAGGGCTGGGGGCTCCTTAAAACCTACTGAGGGGTGGGCATGGTGGCTCACACCTGTAATCCCAACACTTAAGGAGGCCGAGGTGGGCGGATATATATATATATTTTTTTTCTTTCTTTCTTTTGTTAATACTTCCTGAAGCCTTTGTGGCACAGAAACCACAAACTGATTGGCTGACAAAAGTGGAAAGAGGAGAGGCAACTGGAAACCTTTGGGGAGCGGTTCCCCTCCATGCCCAGGTCTGTTCTCCTCAGTACAGCTCGGCCCACAACCTGGATGTGCCAGCAGGGACCATCACCCTACACGTGTTGGGATACAGCTTGATGCCTTCCCCCACAGCCAGGTGGCTCAGTCCTGCAAAGGAACCAAGGCAAGGGGGGAAGAACCCTGCTGCCTGATCCTGTGCTGCCCCTCACAGACCATCGGTTGATTGGCAGCACTGAACAGGTTAAAAAAAAAAAAAGAGAAAATACAGAAAAACCCAAAAACCTAGACAGGGAGATGATGTGGGGAGAGAGCATGCCAGGTCAGATTTTTTTGTATACCTAAACAGTTTGATAAAAATTTTAAATGAATCTAAAATACCATATATACTTTCCAAAAAATGTGACCATTACCCTCCCTTAAATATAAAGACTAAGTATTAAATAAAGAAAAATGGATGCAATTTTTATGAGAAAAGACTTACATAGTCTACTTTTTGTACATGGGATATATCTAACATAAAAAAATAATTGAACTTATTCAAAGTATAATTCAATTTATAAGGAATGGTGAACTAACAGTTTTACTTTTAATGGGAATTGTGTTTAACAGATGATCATACAGTCTTTGAAGATATTAAGTTCATTTACATTTCTCTCTATATTAAAATTTCAGCAAATGTAGGAGCAAATTGATGAAAGTGTCTACGTAAGTTAATATTCTTAAAACACTTAGAACATTCCTAACACATAGTATAACTCTGTTAGGTCAATCAGTCAAATGGACTCTAGTAATTGAAAAGCTCCTTTTTAAAGCTTTATACTACTGAAAGCTTTCTTTTGTCATGATGTATTTGAATTATCAACTTTTTCTTCAATACCTTTTACATTTGCTGTGCTGGGAAAGCCACAAAAGAAAAAGATTACTTCTACATTTAGTCTAGTTGAAAAAGAGCACCAAAATGTGATTTGAATGTTATATAGAGTAATGTTTCACTATGTGTATAATGATTGAGTAAATTAGGTAAATGATAAAATATTGACATTTCTAACATCTTAGTACCTCAGTGTTCTGTACTACAGTCTCCCATTGTTTTTCTCAATGTGAAAATCAGGGCAGAAATTAAGGAACTTCAGCATTATAGGTCATATTCTCTTTTTTTAAAGAGGGTCTGAGATCTGTTGGTTTGAGGGTCCTAGGATGGGTGTGATGGGTACATGGGAGTTAATTTTATTGTTATGCTTTTATAACGTATATTAGATATTCTTCTGTATACAACAATGATTTCATAATATAAATTGTTTTTAAAATAGAAATTGTGAAGAAAAGCTATTCACTGGCCGAGCGAGGTGGCTCACACCTGTAATCCCAGCATTTTGGGAGGCCAAGGCAGGCAGATCACGAGGTCAGGAGATTGAGACCATCCTGGCTAACACAGTGAAACCCCGACTCTACTAAACATACAAAAAATTAGCCGGATGTGGTGGCACACACCTGTAGTCCCAGCTACTCAGGAGGCTGAGGCAGGAGAATCGCTTGAACCTGGGAGGCAGAGGTTGCGGTGAGCCAAGATTGCGCCACTGCACTCCAGCCTGAGCAACAGAATGAGACTCCATCTCAAAAAAAAAAAAAAAGAAAAGAAAAACTATTCCCCAGTAATATCAAAACTAAATTATTTATTGTGAAATTGTTAAATTTGTCCACACGAATAATATTTTATGTTAAAGCAAATATTTGTGATAATCTGAACTTTTTTGTATAAAAAATAAACATTACCTTTAAAATTAGTAATTGACTAGTACACTTAGATGAAGAATTAGTTAAAAATAAGTTTAACAAAGTGGCCATTCGCTTGCATCTTCTTCAGATGATGATCATCACTATATACGTTATTTCTAATAAATTTGAGCCATGGTTATCTTCTTTAAGTTTTGCCTATTTCTCCAAAAGATATTTTGAAATACTAGTTGTGATTATACTGTTAAGTGTCATTTTCATGGTATAAACTATTCATATTTTTTTCTTTTTGGAAGAGTCAGAATGGATAATCGATACGCCTCTGTGGCCTTGTGATAGACTGGATGTGCTTAATCGACATAATTTGCTCTGTACAATTGCACATGAAGCCTTAGCCAAGAGCCTTTATAGACAGACATTTGAAGTTTTGCAGAATCTACCAGGTTTTCAAAATTCCCAAGGTATGTGTTTTAAAAGTCTATCTTAATTATGTCTTGCCCATCTGGTGTTTAACTGTTAATAAGAAACAGTTATCCACCTGTTTTGATTGAGTTTTATATTCCAGCATATTTTTTAATGAAGTAGTTTTCTGTAAAATGTGTTCTTTGCAAATTGAATATGCTTTCCTGATGGTTTTAAAAAATCTGAGTGCTTATCTTTGGGTTGTTTGTCAGCAGCTCCTAAGACAAGCATTTTTATCATTCGCTTTTCCCTACTTCTGTCATCAGCAGACAATATGTTTAAATGCCCCGAGCAAGCTTTTTCTCTTATCACTGAATAAATACAGAACTTAGTTTACATTACCTAGGAACACAGGTAAACGTGAAAGAAATGGAGGAAATGAAACAGATGCCAAGTTCAAAGAAACACCAATGTGGGCAATGGTAGTTAGTACTCTTGAATGTTGGGTGTCCATGAGCAAAAGCTTTGGGTCAAGAATGAGCTATGTGATAGGTTCAGAAGATGTTGAAAACGTTAACTTGAGGGCCTCCCCTCAGTACTTTCATCGTACTATCTATAAATTTTCATTTTCCCACTTAATTCCACTGTGCTCCTGTATTGTAATTAGTGTTCTTATCTGTTTCTCCTTATATAAAGTGAGCTCAATCAAGATGGTACTATTTTCTTTACCTTGGTGTTCCTAGCCCAATGACTGCTATCTAGCAATCTTTTAATATACAATTAGTTGGTAATGAAATAAAGTAGTAATAGGGAGATTAGACAGATAGTTGTGCGAGATTTTGGAAGACCCTAAATGTCAGACTAAAGGAGTTTTATTCTCTGTGTATAAAAAGGGGTCACTAGAATTTTGGGTCTAGGGAGTAATATAATTAAGTTGGTGTTTCAGGAAAGTTCTTCTGGCAGTAGTGTTTAGGAAAAGACTAAAAGTAGAGAGATTAATTTGCTGATAAGGCCTGGATAACTAAAAGATTCTAAAGCAGTAAAGAACTACAGTCTAGCTCACAGACCCAACTGAATGTAAGGAATAAAAGAGAAGTCTCTAAGATGACTTCTTTTTCTTCTAAGAATGACTAAAGGAATAGAAAACCCATTAAAGGATTGTTTTAAATTTGGCAGTAAATATTTATTAGGGGATGATTTATTTTTAGTCGAGGGATATATAAGGCTAAGGTCTGAACTGTAGATATAATACGAACAGAATTGAGAAATCATTCAAGACACTGCAGATACACAGTCACACGTGGGGATCAAATACAGAGGTCTTAAGGCATCATCTGAAATTTTTGTCAAGCTTCTTTTTATCTTCTCTATTGCAAAGGAAGTTAATGGTTTTTCTTTTGTCAAATGCTTTTTTGTTTCTTACTTAGAGAATATGTAAGATAGGCTGGGCACCGTGGCCCATGCCTGTAATCCCAGCACTTTGGGAGGCCGAGGCAGGCAGTTCACTTGAGCCCAGGAATTTGAGATCAGACGATATGGGCGCATTCAGGGTGGTATGGCTGTAGATGAGCCCAGGAATTTGAAACTAGTCTGGGCAACATGGTGAAACCCTGTCTCTGCAAAAAATATAAAAAGTAGCCAGGCCTGGTGGACGTGTAGTCCAAGCTACTCAGGAGGCTGAGGCGGGAGGATGACTTGAGCCCAGGAGGTGAAGGTTGCAGTGAGTCAAGATCGTGCCACTGCACTCCAGCCTGGCCGACAGAGTGAGACCTGTCTCAAAAAAGGAGAAGAAAAATAAAGAGAATATATAACATGATTGCATTTTAGTGACTGTGACTCCTATAATGGGTAAGAAAGGGTCAAGGGGAGGAGAAATAAAAAGGAATATGAGATGGAGGTTTGAGACACTAAGATAAATCAACTTTATTATGTCATTTTTTTTTTTTTCCAGAAACCGTGGAAGTCTCACAATATAGCCTTCTTTTTAATAAGCTTCTAGGTTCCTGTATAGAAAGCAATAGTCTTGGTATGTCATCCTCTGTGGCGGAATTCATGATTTCAAAGAGCATCCCTATTGATTTTTCCTTTCTGAGAAGATTAATTACTTCTTTAGGAAGGAGTCGTTTATGGCTCAAAGCCAGAGCCCACTACAAAAGTAAGTTACATTTAAAATGTTTTAATATATTGGTTTATAATTTTATTCTCTAACCCAGAATTTATAATATTTAAGATTAGATGTTTATATGTATTAAAAGAGCAGTAATACATATTCATATGTAGTGGTCTCAACAGATCTGTGCTCTCTTTTGAAACCTATTGTTTCTCTTCTGTTTGCAATTGCTTTCCTTATTTCCAGTCTTTCCAATTTCCAATCTTTATTTCTTGCACAGTAGCTTGTCCGCTAGAGGGCGAGCAAAGGGAACAAATAACAAGATAGAACCAGTTTGGCATATCTTATAAATAATACAGGCATAAAACAGTTGGGTAGAATGAAGTTTAAAGAATATGTATGTTTTTATTTATCTCTGCTGTATCCCTAATTGTTATAACTAAGAATATTCAATAGCAGGTCACATCAGAAACACAAAGGCTGTCATAACAATGCAACATGGTATGTGTTTTTCACATGGCTTTTAGTAATAGAACTTTGTTAATCTACTTACAGCTGTTGTTCTCTAACAAATAAGCCTGGAAAACTAGTGCTTTCTCTAGTCCAAGCCACCTCGCAGGTATTTTAATTAGAAAATAATTCCATGTAGGTTCTAGATCTAGAAAAGAATTGTTTTTTCTGCCTTCATGCAGTAATTTGTCTTCAACTACCATTTCTACCACTGTCATGTATATAACAAATATTTGAGTGCCTATTCTGTGTTACCCTGTACCAGATGTGTCAAATATCCTAGCCACTACTACCTGAGCTGGAAGTGTTTTTCAGGTGACCAGCTGTGATCAGTGTAGCAGGTGGTAACTTTTTTCCCCAACAAAATGGGAAAGAAAATATTAGGGTACATTACAGGTAGTGAGGTTAATTATTTGATAAAATTTTCATTTCAGTTGCATGTATGCACATATGTGTACTGGGTCATTATATAAAATGTGTTTCTTGTAGGTTATAATCAAAAAAAGTTTTGAAAGCTGTGTTTTCTTAAAAAGGATGATCAGAAATTTAGAGGAAAGATAGAATTGTTTGTTCATAACACCTAATTTCAATTGTGTAGTTATGTTTCAACTCTTTATACTATTTACCTTCAGACTTCTAGAAACCATACACACGCACATATAGGTGTGTGTATGTGATTTTAGTTTCTAGAATTGAAGTTAATGGGAATAATTTATTTTTCATGTAACTGCAACTTGGGGGAGATGCCATCAGAAGGTGCTTATATGCCACAGGAACAAGTATAAGCTCAGACATTTAAATGAGATTTTTATAAATATTTCTATTTTTTAGTTGGAAATGAAATTTTATATTAAAGCATCTAAACTTTATCACTTTAAAAAATTTTAACAACTTTACAGAAGTATAATTCAAATGCCATACAATTCACCCATTTAAAGTATACAAGTCAATGGTTTTGCCGTATCTGAGAATTGGGTAACCATCACCATAATCAACTTTAGAATATTTTATTCACACCAGAAAGAAACCTCATATCCATTAGCAGTCACGCCTCATTCCCGCAAATCTATTCAGCCCTAGTAAGAATTACTTCTAATGACTTTTTTTAGCAGTGCGGTTTTATTTGTTTTTTGTTTTGTTTGTTTGGTTTTTTTTTGTGAGACAGAGTATTGTTTTGTCGCCCAGGCTGGAGTGCAGTGGCCCGATCTCGGCTCACTGCAAGCTTGGCCACCTGGGTTCACGCCATTCTCCCACCTCAGCCTCCCAAGTAGCTGAGACTACAGGCACCTGCCACCATACCTGGCTAATTTTTTGTATTTTTAGTAGAGAAGGGGTCTAACTGTGTTCACCAGGATGATCTCAATCTCCTGACCTCGTGGTCCACCTACTTCAGCTCCCTAAAGTGCTAGGATTACAGGCGTGAGCCGCCGCGCCCAGCCTAGCAGTGTGTTAAAGCAATTAATGCCTGTGTACAATACAGTATCTTTGTTATTGGAACTTTTCCTTTTATCTAATCACACGTATTCCTTATTTCATATGCAGTGTAACTTCTGAGACTTACGCAGGTGAGATTAGGGGGTAAAGAGTCTTTTTGTTTTTTAAAGAATGTAACTGAATTATAAAACCATGAATAAAAATGAGTCATTTACAGCCAAATGAGTAATTTATAGCCACCGATCAGTGTTCAAAACATCTCATTTTCTAACAACGTTGACATTAAATTATATTGGAACTCCTTTTGGATTTATCTTCAGACATAGCCTAACATTGCAAGAAGAGCCTTTCAGTGGTGTATAACTGTGTCTAGTAGTACTTTATTTGGGACTTAAGGCTGACTTTCTTCAAGGCACTGTTAAGACTTAGTGCCAGTGCCTTTGTTTTGACTTTGTTAAAACTTTTTTGTTTTAATATTTTTATGACTTTATGGAGATAATTTCACATATCATGAAATTAATTCACTTAAAGTATATAATACATTCATTTTTGGTATAGTCACAGAGTCATGCAGTCATCACCACCGTTTAAGTTTAGACCATCTTTAACACCTTCAGAAAAAGAAATCTTGTACACATTAACATTTATTGTCCATTCCCTGGTTGTCTCTTCTCTGTCTCCATGAATTTGTCCGTTCTAGACAGATCACATAAATGGAATCATTCAATACATGAGTTTTAGTGACTGACTTTTTTTTTTTTTTTTTTGAAGACGGAGTCTCACTCTGTCACCTAGGCTGGAGTGCAGCAGCGCAATCTCGGCTCACTGCAACCTCTGCCTCCCAGGTTCAAGTGATTCTCCTGCCTCAGCCTCCTGAGTAGCTGGGATTACAGAGGTGTGCCACCATGCCCAGCTAATTTTGTATTTTTAGTAGAGATGGGGTTTCACCATGTTAGCCAGGTTGGTCTTGAACTCCCAACCTCAGGTGATCCACATCAGCCTCCCAAAGTGCTGGGATTACATGTGTGAGCCACCGTGCCCAGCCGTGACTGGCTTCTTAGCCTAGTGTTTTCAGATTTTAATGTTGTAGCATGTATCAATACTTTATTCCTTTTTATTGCTAAACAATATTCTATAGAATAGAATTTGTTTATTTATTGGTTGATGGACATTTGAGTCGTTTTCACTTTTTGGCTATTGTGAATAGTGCTACTTTGAATATTCATATAAGTTTTTATGTGTATATATGCATTCATTTATCTTGGGAGAATTACTGACTCATACAGTAAATCTATATTTAGCTTTTTGCCAAACTGCCAAACTGTTTCCTGAAGAAGCTGCACCATTTTATATTTATATTCCCACCGGCCATGTATGGGATTTCCTAAACATTTCTTTATATCTTCACCAACACTTGTTACTGTGTTTTTTATTTTAGCTTTCCTGCTAGTGGGTGTTAAGTAATATGTCATTACAGTTTTGGTTTTCATATCTCTAATAACTAATGATGTTGAGGACCTTTTCATACAGTTATTGGTCATTCATATATTTTCTTTTGAGAATGTCTATTAAATCCTTTGCCCTTTTTTTTATTGTAAGAGTGTATTCATACATACATACACATGTACATTTGCATTTATATACACTCTGGATACAAATCCCTTGTCAGATATATGAATTACAAATATTTTGTCCATCCTGTTGGACAAAGTTGTCTGTTACTTTCTTGATGGCTTTGCCTTGCTTTCATGCTAGACTAATCAGGAGGAGATTGTCTAGGGACAACAGAGTTGCCTTCCTCATGTTCCTGATTTGTTCTCCCTTGTCCTAAAAATACTGCTTTTCTCTCAGAACTGAGAAGTCAGGAGAGAGATGTTATTAGTGTGTCTTTCCATTACTTCCCCTTCCCCCCAAATCAAATGTGAGTATTTTTCTTCTCACGTTTCATTTTGAGTGAAAAAAATCATATTAGTAGATTTCTGGTTAATCTAGTTAATTTGTTGTTTTCTATTTTTTAATTCTGGCAAGAAAAGTTAAATAAGAATGCATGTAAATTATACCTACCAAAAACTAGTGAAGTTAATGAGTTAACAGTTTGTTGCTCCTGGCAGTGATCTAGGGAGGTGGGAATATCTAGTGATTAGGAATCCAAAATCTGGAACCAGAAAGTGGGCACGCCAAGGAGGGTTAGAGAGCCTGAATGCTTACCAAAAGCCCCTCGTCTATGACATGGGAATAATAGTACCTAATTTCAAAGGTAGCATATTGTCAGATTAAAATGAGGTAAAACCCATGTGTTTATTAGCACATGTACCTGGCACATAGCAGGTCTTCAAAGATTAGCCATTACCCACATTAGAAAGATTTCTTGAAGAAACTTATTCTAACAAAACAAAACATTTTAAGCAAAATTTACATACAGATTTAAATTGGTTTCAGTAAAATATAATGATATAAAATTGCCTATATATAATTTGGATGTTCTAGAAGTTTTAAAGGTATTTCCCTATATATCACTGCTAATAAGCACCTAAACAATTTAAAAGTTAAATCTCTTCTCTTGAAAAGTGAAGTTTTAAAAACATGAAATGGTGAGTGTGGCTACAACACACAGATCACCTACAGGATGGAAATGTATTTTATGCCTAGTGCTTAGCACAATGCCAGACATTTAGTAGCAACAGTAAATATTGCATAAACTATAATGGTACTATAAATAACTGTGCTCAAAAATAGTTATTCTGAAATTATCTTGTGTTTACTATGGCTTGAAATAAATGTTGTTTGCCGTAATAAGGCTCAAAAGTCATTTTTCAGAGTTTTTTTGTTTGTTTGTTTTAATGTTTCTCACTTTTTTTTTTTTTTTTTTTCTGAGACAGGGTTTTGCTTGCCCAAGCTGTAGTGTGGTGGCACAGTCTCGGCTCACTGCAGCCTCTACCTCCCAGGTTCAAGTGATTCTCCTGACTCAGCCTCCCCAGTTGCTGGGATTACAGGCACCCGCCACCACACCTGACTAATTTTTGTATTTTAGTAGGGATGTGGTTTCACCATGTTGGCCAGGCTGGTCTCGAACTACTGACCTCAAGAGATCCACCCGCCTCAGCCTCCCAGAATGCTGGGATTACCGGCATGAATCACCACGCCCAGCCCTTCTCACTTTTTATTTAATGTTTCAAAAACACTTTACAAAGAATAATGTCAAATATACTAGGATAAGCTATCGTGTAATTTGTTAATCTACTTCTAATGTGAAGATGTATTCTGTGTAAGTAATTATCACCTGTAGGTATTTCAGAAATCTAGGTTTTTACCTATTGGGTTTTAGTAAAGTTTGACCTATATTTGATTTTTCAGGTGCTCTTTCCTTGGGTTGCTACCCACCACTGGAAGGAAATTTATACCGAAAACTTCTTCTAATTCCATCTTATTTATCTGAGATTGAAATGCTCTTAGCTATTGAAATCTTCATGGTATCTAATGCTAGTAGTATTCAGAGTCCTGGAACTTCTACACAGATACTGCAGATAGTTTTGAAAAGGTTGGTTGACATAACTTTAACTGCGTTCTGAATGTAGATCTTGGCTCCCTACTCCCACCCTAGGATGTAAATGTTTTATGTGTTTTTATATATACATATATATTTATGTATATATTTATATGTGTACTTTGTGTGTATATTGCAAACTCTAGTATCATTTAAATTGAGAAAGGATTAGACCTGTTTGAGGCTTAAAACCAAACAAGTTAGTAGCATTCAGTAAACACTTTAGCAACTTCAAAGATACAGTTAAATATTCAAAGAGATGGATCCTCTTTAGGTACCAACTTTTCTTGTGTTTAGAGATCAGTACCTATAAAAATCTCTAGTCAACTCAAAAGATCAAAGGACTAGGGTCTAAAAGGAAAATACGTGATCATTTATTAGGTTCAGCCAGGAATACCATTGAAAATAAAGCCATCAGCCTAGTTTCTATATTTTATAATGCTATATATGCATAAATATTATAAAGTAGGTACTGTCCCAGAGTGACACCCTTTCATGTAATTTTGTTTGGAATCCTAGAATTTAGGCATACAGTAGATGGTGTGCCTAAATGGTAGTATGCCATATGATTTCTTGTCAGCCTTATCCAGGAAACTTGGAATATAACGATCTCTTGGGAATCCTGTTTTAGAGCTTCTTGACAAGAATTTTGCTTTAGTTTACAGGTGTGACAAACCAGATCCTCTGGTTGAATATTACATTAGTTATCTATTGCTGTGGAATAAATTATCCCTGGACCTAATGGCTTAAAACAGCAAATAGTATCTTAGTATCTGTGGGTCAGAAATTTCAGAGAGGTTTAGCTGGATTGTCCTGGCTCAGGGATTTTCGTGTGACTCAGAGTTTCTCCACATAGTTGGAGTCAGGATGTTGTCAAAAACTTTGGTCACCTACATGATAGCTTACTGGAGCTAGAGGATCCTTTTCCTTGATGACTCACTCAAATACCTATTGAGTGGAAGCCTCAGTTTACCACATGGGCCTCTCCATAGGTTGGTTAAGTGTCTTCATGACATGACTGACAGCTAGTTTCTCCCAGAATGAGTGATCCAAGAAAGAAAAAGCAAGGAGGAAACTGCAGGGTCTTTTGTGACCTATGTCAAGCAAGAACTGTGAAGAGTCTGAGATTTTATCCTATTTGCAAGCTATAAGCTAACCTGCCACAGTTTCATAGATGGTAGCATAAGAGACAAGACTCCTGTGTTGGAGACAGAGGAATTTATTATTTGTGGTATGGCAAACAGCATGATTATCTACATATTTGCATCATTTCCTCTTGCTCCTAAGTCCCATAGATGGGCCCACATGGATACCTACATATGCCATGAGTTCTGTAACAGGAGAGGAGTGCCCAGCTTAGGAAACCCAAATCTTTTATGAGTAATAAGCATACCTGCCCTTTGCTTTGCAGGGAGGTAGTATCTCCATCATCTAAGACTATGAGCAAACCTGCCCTTTGCTCCAGGAGGAAAACTTATCTTTATCTTTCAAGGTTGTTCACTATATAATCCTGGTAATTTAGAACAAAGGGTAGGCAGTGACTCTTGCAAAACTTCACAAACTCAAGAGATCCATGGAGAGTTGTCATCCAAAGTTACATACTGTCACTTCTCTCCTTTGTTGTAGGTGAGTCTTTTGGTCCAGCCGACACTTAAGGGGAGGAGAATTAGGAAGTAAATTATTTTAGTTCCACCTTCAAAAAAACCCACTAAAAGTCACCTTTTTTCTTATAGTTCTTTTTTTTTTTTCCAGAGTGCTTCCTTATTTACCACTGTGCAGTATGGTGGATAAGGCATCTAGGCTCCCCATGATCCTAATGAGGTCATGGTTTTCTCATAGCTTTCTATTCCCCACACACATGCAACCTCTTTATTTATTTCTTGAATTTGGAAGGTATTGTAACCATAGTGCATAACTAGTGGCATACCTAAATCTTTGATTTTGTCCAAGCCAATATATTTTCTCTATTGTCATTATCATGCTAAGCCCTGCCTTGTTACATTTACCTCTCTCTATGAGAGAGAATTGTATTCATCTTTAGACTTTTTTAAACTGCACATGGTTGGCATGTGCACCACCTACCAGATTCCCAGGCACCTCTTTCTAAGCTAGAATGTACTAGAAGGCACCTGACCAGTCTTTCCTCTCTGTGACCACTAGTTCCTGTTTCAAGTGCAATTCCTCACTCTTGTCACTCTGGACCACACCGTGATGTTAATGCAGATAGGCTCCTACTCAGAACTTGCTGCTGGGCCCCGTAGATACCAAGAGTAGGAAGCAGTGAACACAAAGAAAAAAGTGATGCTTTATGTAACAGCCACATCTCTATTTTAAATAGTTCCCATTCCCTACCCCAGAGGAAAAACTGACATAAGGTGGGAATTTTATGCAAGTCAATGCAGTGACAATTGATTGCAGATGGAGCTGGTAGAAAAATTATTAGAAAAATTAATTCTAGCACTTAAGGAAGCACCCTAAATCAGGATTGAAGAAAATAACCAGAAATATAATAAAGCCCCTATAGCTATGCAATTTGCTACCAGACATTAGCTACATATTAAGTATTTCCTTATAACTAAAAATAGTCAATATCAAAGTAAAACTAACATGTGAACATTAATTCTAAACTGGATTACATTTAGTATTTTATGCATTCTCATGAAAAGATACAGGTAATTAGCTGTGTTCTAGATCAGTATTTTTCAAACTGGGTTGCAGACTATTTGTGTGGTGAAATCAATTTAGGGTGTTACAACCAGCATTATTTTTAAAATCAGGGTTTTTGTCATCAGGGTAAGTCTTGTTTTGTGAAATTTACTTTTTATGTATGAAGGTATATACTGGGCCATAATATGTCTTTTTTTGGACAGAGTCTTGCCCTATCACTCAGGCTAGAGTGCAGTAGTGCAATCATAGCTCACTGCAACCTCAACTTCCTGGGCTCAAGCCATCCTCCCACCTTAGCCTCCTGAGCAACTGGGACTACAGGTGCACGTCATCATACCTAGCTAGTTTTAAAATTTTTGTAGAGACGAAGGTCTCACTGTGTTGCTCAGGCTGATCTTGAGCTCCTGGCCTCAAGCGATCCCCCCAACCTGAGCCTCCAAATCGCTGAGCTTATTACCACTACGCCTGACCAAAATGCCTTTCTTACTGTGGGTCATGATCAAAAAAGTTTGAAAGCCACTTTTAGAAGAATATGGTGAAAAGACGATCATAGCTTAGTACCAGTAAATGTAAATTACTATCTTTTGAAGAAACTATATAGCTTATCTTTTTTAAGAGTTTCTGACTTTATGAGGTGTTCATTTTATAGGTGTGAAGACAACCAGTCTCGGAGCAATGATGATTATCAAGCTGCAGTAGAAAGGTTAATTATGGCTGCTCGTATATCAGATCCAAAGCTTTTTGTTAAACACATGACTGTCAATGTTAATAAGGAACAGGTTTATAGTTTGGAACATTGTTCTGCCCTGAAATGGTTAAAAGAGAATATGAAGTGGGCTGGAAAGGTTTGGCTTTTCAGTAACCATTAGTTAATAAAGTCTGCTTTTTTTTTTTTTTTTTTTTTAGTTCAAGTAATCATTGTTGAAAATAAAGGCAATAAAAATAGACAGTTTTCACCATATTCAGCTCTTTGACTTTGTTGGCTTACAGCAAGTTAATAGTCTTAAAGCCCTGAAAATTTTTATTGATAAGTAATTTTCAGTAAGTTTATTCACACAGAAAAGTGACTTTTCAGATTACTTTTTGACTTTAAAAGAAACTAAGCATATTAAATCCCAATTTATTCTGAAATCCAAAACTGAATACTGTGCAGCATTTAATAAGAGGGAGACATAACAGGGAAAATATACAAGCAGGTAACTGGAATCTTCAGAAAAACATTTAGGGTTATGAAATAGGTTTAGTGTGTACTCAGTCCAGTCTCTAAAGCTATACTACGTCTGTAATCAAGAATAATAATATATTGAAAATGAACACAAAAATTCAGAATACTTTCTGAATTACACCAAAAAAGTTAAATTACCCTCAGAATGGTTTTCCTTTCATGTATCTTAGAATACTAGATGAGTTTTGAAAATTTATGTGCATTACACTAGATAAAACACAAATATACCCAAAACTTAATTATCTAAACAAGGATTCTTCCTTCCAAACCAATTTAGGAAGTTAAAACTCTTCTGAAGTCATATTCAGAATCTATATCACATTCTCCAAGGTGGTAGTCCTCATCTTTGATACTTTAAACCATAATTTAAAATTGTTTAGATTTTTAAAAGTATGAGTAAGGTGAGTAATAAGTTGTAACTAAGGGGACTGAAAGTATTGTTTTTTTTTTTCCTGAGAAAGGGTCTTACTCTGTGCCCAGGCTGGAGTGCAGTGGCATGATCATGGGTCATTGCAGCCTCAACCTCCCGGGCTCAAGTGATCCTCCCATCTCAGCCTCCCATGTAGCTGAGACTACAGGTATGCACTGCCATGCCCGGCTAATTTTTGTTTTTTGTTTTTGTTTTGAAATGGGGTTTTGCTATGTTGCCCAGGCTGGTCTCAAACTTCTGGACTCAAGCTATCTGCCCACCTTGGCCTCCCAAA